ACACGACAGAGCTCAGTCCTTTCTTTCTATCTCTGGGGTCAGGAAAGTCAAGGGGAAAACTAGGGTGACTCAGAGAGTCAAGGAAGCTAGTTACAGATACCCTATCTATTTAGAATTTGATAGTGTATAAAGCATTCCAAAAGGCCAAAGTCATGTCCAGGGTTGTCGGTACCGGAAAGCCGCAGTGCCAGTCAAGTCCTGAAGCCTTCTGGGAAACAGAACCAGAGATTCAACTATACTATAGAAATTAAAGTAACTTAGGTTTATCAGAGGACTGAGGGTCAATCCAGGCCCTAATTCTGCGACAAGTGTGAGTTATTTTTATGGGATGGAGAACTAGGGAAACACACAAACAGTCAGGCCACACTCAGTGTCCCTTAGCAAGTTTGGGAAAACGGTAAGTTCTCCATCTAGGTGAATGGGGAACTTGTGGTCCAACAGGTTTGGATGCCCTCATCCCATTCCTCAGACTGAGGACGCTTTCTTTCCCAGCGGGCAAAAGAAACTATGTACTATTCAGGCAATCTCGTATTAATTCCCACGGGTCATCTTTTCATGCGGGGAGGGTTGTTAATGTATTAAATGGCGCTGTAGAAGGAGTGGGTTTAAAATAGCAGCAGCCAAATATGCTTTTTATTACGGAAGGAATATGGAGAATGTGTGAAATCAAATCCATCCTGTACATCTGTATGTAATCTTTTCTCTCTCTCTCTCTCTCTCTTCCTTCCCAGAGTATAATTGGTGTGGTGATTGGAAAAACAGATGCGAAAGGCTTTCCAGACAGAAAAAGTAAAGGTTCCTTTTTAGACCCTCTGTTTCTCAGGCTCTATCTCTCTTGTCTTGTGATGTCTCTGACTCGAAAGTATGGGTGGGAAGCCAGCGGGAACCCTTTCTCCACAACTGAAATTTCAACAGAGATCGCCCAGCTGAATAAGAAGGGGAACGGGAAGCTAAGAGGGGGTCCAGCTCCCTCCGGCTATCTCTGTCCTTTACTGTTTCAAAGGATGGTGTTAAAAGTGAGTTACTTAACGCAGCAGCAGTTTCTCTCTCCCAGTAATTCTGGGACATCTAATGACAGTAGAAAACTCCATTCAGTTTAGGAGGCGGAGTTCTCTGCCAAAGCGGTGGGACACCCGCCAACTTGCTCTGCCCGGGCCAGCTGTAATGACTTTTCCCATCCCCTCCCAGGCAGAACCAAAGTTCATTTTTTAAAAATCTGGTGACCTCTAGCGGTATTTAATGAGCTTGCCCAATGCTGGCTCAGTTCCTTCTTACACAACCAATGTATCTTCTCCTACCTTTGGGGCTTTTACCAACAACCTTTTTCTCTCTCTCGTCCTAATTTCCCTGGTCCTTTGCTTCATGGCTAGTGCCCCGGGGCCAGTCCTGTCTTCCGTGTTTCCTTATAGGGTAGCCAACCTCCAGGCGGGACCTGGAGATAACTCAGAATTACGACTCATCTCTCCAGACCACTGATATCAATTTCCCCTGAAGGAAATGGCCGCCTTGGAGGGTGGACGCTACATCAGTGTTCCCTCTAAGCTGAGTTAGTGTGAGCTAGTTCACAGTTTTTTAGCCACCGGTTCACACATTTTCGCCTTAGCTCAGAAAGGATGGCTCCAGAGCCAACTAACTGATGCAGTTGCCAAATCGCTCGCTCACAACTTTAATGCCACAAAGCAGAATTTTTGCTCACAAGGCTCTGCAGCTTAGAGGGAGCATTGCTCTACATCATTATACCCCACTGAGGTCCCTCCTCTTCGCAAACCTCACCATCCCCATACTTGACCCCTGAATCTCCAGGAATTTCCCAACAGAGAGTTGGCAACCCCATTCCCTTACAATGTGCCACGCATGAGCCTGAGCAGTGATGGCACCACAATGGGCGGTGCTTGCGGATGCTGCCACTAGAGTTGCCAACCCCCAGGTGGTGTCTGGAGAACTTGTGGGATTACAACTGATCTCCAGGCAGGCCCGGAGCTACAGTGGAGCCTCCCGGGGCTCCCCCCCCCCCCCCTCACTCGCCTACCAAGCCTCCCTGACTTCCCATCCAGCCCAGGCCCCCCGCCCCCCCGGCTTCCAATTTTTTATTTTATTTGTGGTGCTCCCTTGGAGGTGTCTGTGTGGGGTGCCCCCTGACTTATTTAAAGGCCCCCTGAATTTAAAAAAATCCTGGCTACGGGCCTGTCTCCAGGTGACAGAGATCGGTTCGCCTGGAGAAAATGGTTGCTTGGGAAGGTGGACTGTATGGCCGAAGCCCCTCCCCTCCGCAAGCCCCGCCCTCCTCAGGCTCCACCCCCAAAATCTCCAGGTATTTCCTAGCCCCTAGCTGCCACCTGCCACCCCACACCAGAGCTCCGAGAGAACTCTGAGAGAGCTCTGACAGAAGCAGCACAGCCTCAGTAGAGTATTTCAGGGGCCCAGGGGACAACTTGGGTGTCTCCCCATTGCTGTGGCAAATTCTTCCATGGGGGGAGAGAAGAAGGAGGAGGAGGAGATTGGATTTATACCCCACCCTTCACTACCCGAAGGAGTCTCAGAGCGGCTTACAATCTCCTTTCCCTTCCCCTCCCCACAACAAACACCCTGTGAGGTAAGTGGGGCTGAGAGAGCTCTTTCGAGGACTGCTCCTGAGAGAACAGCTCTGAGGGAAGTTGTGACTGACCCAAGGCCACACCAGCAGCTGCATGTGGAGGAGTGGGGAATCAGACCCAGTTCTCCCAGATTAGAGTCTGCACTCCTAACCACGACACCAAACTGGCTCTGTAAGATTATATAAGCCACCTTGGGTCCCCATTGGGAAGGAAAGTAGGGTACAAATGAGGCAAATAAATAAATACGGCTTCTTTGAGCTGAGTAACACAAGTCTGACCTCTTAACTTTGATGATACTTGGCAGGACGTAACAATTCTCGTGCGCCCATAGCTGTGCCTGACTCTGAATTCCAGCTTTTAAACAGCAAAAAAATGCCTTTTCTCCCTGCAGACATTGGTGCGGAAAGATACACTTTTGGTTTTACTGTTCGTGATTCGCCATCTTGCTTCATAAACATAAATTCTTGGGGAAGAGAGGAATACGTTAAGTCGCTTTCAGAAAGTTTTAGAGTCGGTGACTGTGGTAAGCCTGGAGTTTATTCTCAACATATTTCAGTTTTTCAGTATGTGTTCTCCCTCGTTTTAAATCACTGTTATGTGTTTGTGGCCTTGGTGTGTTTTCCCCAAAGGAGTTGTGGACTAGTTAATTGGAACCAACTTTTTTTCCCAGTTAGGTTGAGTGAAGAGGGAAGAAGTAAAAAGTTAAAAAACAACCCTTATTTTCGAAAGTAGTAAAGCTGTCATCGAGAGACTTGGGTCTGAAAGAAAAAAATCTCCCAGACTCCCTCTCAGATCTTCATGTTATCGTGTGTTTTGTTAGTCTAACGGTCTTTAATAATTATAACAGTAATAATTAATGGCATAATCCAGTTGGAGTATAGCACTGTCACTCTCCCACTAAAACGAATGGGAATTAGAACATGTGTTTAGCCGTTTCCCCGCTGAAGTAAATTGGATTTTTTGGGCTGTTTCCAGTGTTCCCTCTAAGATGAGTTAGTGTGAGCCAGCTCACAGTTTTTGTAGCCTCTGGCTCACACACATTTGTCTTAACTCAGGAAGGAGGGCTCCAGAGCAAGCTAATTCATGCGGTAGCCAAATGGCTTGCTCACAACTTTAATGCTAGCAGCTCGCAAAGTAGAATTTTTGCTCACAAGACTCCACAGCTTAGAAGGAACGTCGGACACATCTGAATAACAACCGTTTGCCGGACCACCTTGCCCAGAAACTTAAGATCAATCTGTCAAGGGAATACTACTACAATAAATCTTCACAGTTCTGCTTGGTTTTTAAGTGCAGCTGTGTGCCAAACAGACCCCCGGCAAGCACCTCCTTGCTAGTTTTCCTCCTCGTAGTGTTTTGAGCAAACACTGCAGAACACTGCCCTTGAGCTCACCCTAGTTGAGCGTAATGAACTTGTGTGAGGGGAATCAGGGTGCAAAGAACATCAGCCGCTCCTGCTCGGGTTGGCATCTACAATACTGTGATGATTCCATTTTTGGTGCGTGTGTGTCATTAAATGTTTCGTGTGACTGCAGTAATGTAAGGAGAGTGAGAGAGGGAGATGAGTGTGATGTGATTGGCTGATGACTGAGAGTGTGGGAGGAGCGATGTCTCTGAGGGGATTCTGTGTTCTTGAAGAGATGAGTGTGGAGAGTTTTTGAGAGAGTCTGTATGACAGAGGAAGCAGTTGGAGTTTAGCCTGTGTGGCTATGAGAGAGAAAGTTCAGCCTGTGTGGCTATATATGACCCAGAGTGTTTAGCCTGTGTGGCTATATATATGAGAGAGAGAGAAGTCTGTCAGTGTTAAGTTTTGGTGTTTAAGAGACTGTGTGTGACGCCAAGCTTTCTCAGTTATTTTTTCTTTCTTCAACAACAGTTCAAAAATACCCAGAAACCTATTTTGTTCTTTTATAAATAAATCATTATTTGTTTAAACTTATCCCAGCAATTAGAACAGTCCCTCAGGGCCACATAGTCCTCTGAAGCGCCCAGACACTGGGTCATTCTACCAAAAGAGAGAGATTTGGAATTTTTAATTCCTGGTGGCTGCAGAAATCTACTAAGTTCATGTACAGAGAGTGTGGTTTAAAGGAGAAACAGTCCCCCCAATAAGTGAGGATGCCACAAATATTTTACAGGGATTTCCCAAAGCCGTGTAAGAACTTTAGGTACCTGTGTAGTCTGAGCTGGAACCGAGGCACTATTTCCAAGCTTCCATGTTAAACATTGGTACCAGTCTATCTCCTTGCAACGGATCCAGCTCCACTCAGGGACAGTACCAAGTATTTTGTCACCTCAAGAAAGGTGTACCTGCCCACCCCACCCCCGGGCCGTGCTGGCGGGATCCCAGGAGGTGGAACCAATGCTTCCTCTAATCTGTGAGCAAAAATTCGACTTTGTGAGCGACTGGCATTAAAGTTGTGAATGAGTGATTTGGCTACTGCATCGATTCGTTTGCTCTGGACTCGGAGCCATCCTCCCTGAGCTAAGACAAAAATGTGTGGGCCAGAGGCTAAAAAAACTGCGAGCTGGCTCCCAGTAACTCAGCTTAGAGGGAACACTGGGTGGAGCCGGCCCCCTCCTATGTTGCTGATGGCTGGGAGTGAGCCCAGCCCCTGGGGGGTGTCGGTGCACCTCCCTAGTGTGAGCAATCATTTGGGGGGCTTGGCCAGAGACCCTACCTGCAGTCTGTTAGAGGGCTGGGGAGGCAGCAGCCAGGCATCCCCCTTATTGTGCCTGGACTCAGCTTCAGCAATGGAGCCTTTCTCTCCTGATTCCAGCTGCTGGAGCTGTCAGAATAGGAGGCAGGCAACTTGAAATCCCATCTGCAGGGATGGTTACTGCGGGATTTTTCTTGATTTCCTGTAAGTTGCATCGGAAGGTCATCTTTTGTCAGAAAAGGAATAACAGTCCTGTAACTTGACAATCAGGGGCTGCGGTGGCTCAAGTGGTTAAGACGCTGAACTGCAGGCCAGAAGGTCGGTAGTTCGGCAGTTCAAGACCCGAGTGCCGCATGACGGAGTGAGCTCCCGTCCCTGGCCCCAGCACCTGCCAACCTAGCAGTTAGAAAGCAATAAATTGCAAGTAAATAAATAGGTACCGCTTTGGTGGGAAGGTGACAGCGTTCCGTGCGCCTCGGCGTCTAGTCATGCCAGCTACATGACCACGGAGACATCTTCGGACAGCGCTGGCTCTTTGGCTTGGAAACGGGGATGAGCACTGCATCCCTAGAGTCAGATTCGACTGGCTTTCGAGCAAGGGAAACCTTTACCTTTACCTAACTTGACATCTACCCTGTTGAACTGCAAACGTCCGGTCCCTTGACCTGGCGTGGTGTTGCATTGTACCTGTCCCTGATGTAGGTTCAGGTGGGTAGGATCACCTCATTGGTCTGCAGTACATGAGCAAGAGTTGAATCCAAGAGCACCTTCGAAACCAAAAAGATTTCCAGGGTCTAAGCTTTCAAGAGTCAAAGCTCCCTTCGTCACAGGGCTTTCGTCTCAAAAGCTTATACTCTGGAAATTTCGTTGATCTTTAAGGTGCTACTAGGCTTGAGTCTTGCTCTGTCCCTAGTGTGCTTCCACAACAAGCCTGGGTGTTGAGTTGCGAGTGCAGTGTGCTACGTGCCCTCAGAATTACAGGATCATAGAGTTGGGAGGGGCTCTACAGGCCATCTAGTCCAGGGGTGTCAAACTCATTTGTTATGAAGGCCAGATTTGACATAAATGAGACCTTGTTGGGCCAGGCCATGTGTGTCATAAAAGGTAATGCCAAGTAAAAAGGTAAAGGTTCCCTTGCTCGAAAGCCAGTCGAATCCGACTCTAGGGTTGTGGTGCTCATCTCCGTGTCAAAGCTGAAGAGCCAGCGCTGTCTGAAGACGTTTCCGTGGTCATGTGGCTGGCATGACTAAACACCGAGGCACACGGAATGCTGTTACCGTCCCATCGAAGTGGTACTTATTTATCTACTTGCAATTTCTTGCTTTCGAACTGCAGCTGCCAGGTAGCGGAGATATAAACTTTATAAAGGACACAAACACAAAGGGGTTTTTTAACTTAAAATAAAAACATGCTTAACACATTAGCACTCTTGCAATATTTTGTTTATTTAACAGTGTCTGATAACTGACACCTCTTGCTCTGAATTATTGCATCAAAAATTCTGTGCTGTTGCAATCTTGAGTATGCTGTTCAGGTGTGTATCTGTAATCTGCAAACCTATGATGATGCAGCAGCAGCAGAACTGGAAGAAGCAGCAGAAGACAGCCAGTTCCACTGTGGGCCTGATAGAAACCCTCCAGGGGCCTGATCTGGCTCCCAGGCCACATGTTTGACACCCCTGATCTAGTCCAACCCTCTTCTCAATGTAGGATCAGCCTAGAGCATCCCTCACAAGTGTTTTTCCAGCCGCTGCTTAGAGAATGCCATGGAGGGGGAGCTCACCACCTCTTTAGGCAGCCAGGTCCACTGCTGAACTACTCTTACTGGAAAAAATTGTTCCTAATATCCAGCCAGTACCTTTCCCCCCTTAATTTAAACCCATGATTGCAAGTCCTCTCCTCTGCTGCCAACAGGAACAGCTCCCTGCCCTCCTCCAAGTGGCAGCCCTTCAAATCCTTCAAGAGAGCAATCATGTCCCTCCCTCAACCTCCTCTTCTCCACAATGAACATTCCCAAGTCCCTCAGCCTTTCCTGGTACGCCTTGGTCTCCAGGCCCCTGATCGTTTTTTCATCGCTCTCTCCTGCACTTACAAGAGATCATTTAAATTAATTTTATGTGACTTCCCTGTGTTCTCCTCTTCATAGTCATCATTGAAAACCCTTTACTACAGACCAAAGAAGTAGAAAAGGAGGAAAAATATAACCCTGCGACACCAAGGTAAATGCAAAGTAGAATTAAATTGACAAAGTTTAAAAAAGAAAGCTACACGTAGCCTACACCTGGCGTGTTTAGAGGAGGACCTTACGCAGACGTTGTGCATGACGAATAATACTGCTGCGATATGGAATTTGCTGTACAGTGACGTAGTGGCCTTTTATGCAAACGCCGCTTACTTTTAATTTCCTGCGCTTTTGATCCACAACTTTCTGACTCAGCTTCAACGATTCATTCTGCATCTCCACTTTCCCTTCAGAGTTGCATTGTGCATTGGGTGAGAGTTTTGCACATGGCGCAGTAGTGTGGTTTTTCTGACGGAATGCCTGTAGTCGGAGCCGTCACAGCTCTGTCATTCTCCTATACTTTTTGTTTGTTTGTTTGCTCATGTGCTCTAGTGATAGTGCCCGAAAAGAAATAGAGCCCATTATTAACTTTTTTTGTGTCTGCACACTAGCAATAATTTGTGGGTACATAACTGCAGACCGGAAGGTCGGTAGCTCGGCAGTTCAAGACCCGAGTGCCGCATGACGGAGTGAGCTCCTGTTGTCTGGCACCAGCTCCTCCAACCTAGCAGTTCGAAAGCAAGAAATTGCAAGTAGACAAATAGGTACCGCTTCGGTGGGACAGTAATAGCATTCCGTGTGCCTCGGTGTCTAGTCATGCCGGCCACATGACCACGGAAATGTCTTCGGACAGCGCTGGCTCTTTGACTTTGAAACGGAGATGAGCACCGCAACCCTTGAGTCGGATTCGACTGGCTTTCGAGCAAGGGAAACCTTTACCTTTACCTTTAACAGAAAGTACCTCCTGTATATAGACTGATTCCATTTTCTGTATGTCCCGTTTATTTAAAACATCAGTTTGTGATCGGGTTGCTTGGCTTTTTAAAATTTCATCACCAGAGCAGCAGTGAGACTCTTTGTTTTGCACATTGCACATGCACGATTTGCAACATTAAATATCAGATGCATGTAATAGATCACTTAATAAAATAATTACAATTTTTTAAAAAAAAACAGTACAGACGGGAGGCAGCCGTTATGCTAGTGTCCTATCACTAAATTTTTACCGCAAAAAAACCCACACCCCTCCCCCAGATTGGTACTGGGGTTTTTTTTTTTTTTTGTATAGAGATTTTATTGACTCCCCTAAAAAGGGGAGGAGTTTCGCTTAAAAAGAAAGATAAGGAGGGTATATAGTGGGAGAAAGAGAAAGCTGAGTGATGTATTAACTGTTAGATTAAACTGTTAGTAATGTCCAATCATCAAAGGCTTCTTCTGCGTGTTGTCAAACATCTTTTTTCCATTCCAGTTACTTTCTATGTTAATTTATTAGTAATGTTCCTTTGAATTTCTGTTAAAAAGTCTCTTCAAGGCACATTCAGAACCGCTTCTTTAACGCGCTGGTTACTTTTCCCCTCTCAGTGACGGGAGGGGCTTCCTCTGTTTTTCTCTTGCCTCCGGCTTCTTCCCCTCCTCCTTCGGGTCGCTGTTAACTCTTTCAGTTCCTGTGCTGTAAGCTGTCTTCCTTTCATGCCATGCCCGGAGATCTCCAGCTTTGAGAATGGTATTAATTTCAATTTCGCTTTTATCCGCTCCCAATCCCTTCGCTGGATTCTCCTCTTCAATTGTTGACTTTTATAAGCGCTCATGAGGCACTTTTCGCTGTCACAATTCAAGCTTTTCTTTTCCTTCACAATCCCCGTTGGATTCATAGCCATACACAGTCCAAATATTAAACAGCCGGCACTCACGTTGACACAAACGCCCAGACGGAAGTCCCTCCCTTCTCCCCCGCTTG